ATTAGGCTTAGATATAAAAAGCGTAATAAAGCTGCACCGTATGAGCTGCGATGGCGGGGGATGCTTACCTGCGGCCGCGTATTAGTCTCGAAAGCTGCATCAGAACACGCTGCCGTTCTCGCACGTGTCAGTCGGTCACTTATCATTTTAATGATTGCTTTGTATGGATATACAGCTGTATACGTGTATGTGATGTATCGCGTTTATATGCGTTTTTGCGCGGGGACCTTGTTATTAGTGTACCTTCGCATTAGAAACTTTTATTTTCCCTGTGAGCCAGTTTCGCATATTATTTTTTTCGTCTTATCACCACGCAACGATCTTAAAAAAAAACGAATTTTAGTTTGAGCTCAAAAGATAAAAATCAAATAGTTTCTACTTTATTCAGCACTTGATATGCGTTGACAAATTATTTGCGGTATATTGTTTTTCTTATCATGTAGTTACTTCAAAAATAATCAAAAATACTCACTATTGAAAAAGAGTAAATTCTGCGTCAAAGTGGGGTCTCGCAATATTTCAGATTTTATACGAGAGACCTCATCCCCTGCGATACCAGAGCAAACTCACAAGTGAAACTTGGAGAAAGTCGTCGATTTAAAAATCCTCATCATCCGCGTCGAAGTGCTACGCACAAGCAAAGTTTCAGCGGAGATGTCAGAAGCGCGAGCATCCTCCAACCCCTAATAGACTGACTGTGCATGTGTATAGGGTCGATACGTATATATATGTGTATGTGTATTCACACACGTTCACACACGTGCGTTTAAACAGGAGAAGCGTATACACTTGAACGCATCTCTCGCGCTGGCTTGTATGTTTATATACTCTATTTACATTATCCAAAGTCAGCTATAGGATTTCGCATGCAAAAAGAAAGGAGGATATCTGTACCATTGAGTGAGCATATATTTTGCCCCTGTTGAGAGAAAAGGACAAAAGCTCGACTCTTGGCACCATCTATCAAAGCGAAGCCACGACAAACCGTATGTGCGTGGCTGTGCGCGCACCGCTCAAAAGCAGCCGCCAACGCGCTATAAATAATCATCGTACAAGACTGAACGAAATATGCTCTGCTCTTCGGTCTTTACCTGACTAATTATTATGCATGAAAATTGAGCAAATCTTGGATATAATTGAAAATCAAACGAACTTACTTCTAAGTGAATTAGACAGAATAATAAGTAGTAGATTTTTAATTCGAACGATTGAACCATAACTATGTAGAGACAAACCATCACCTACACCTGGCTTCTCCTCACTGCTTCTCCTACCATGCTCACTGCTATAGCCCTCATATTGTTTTTTGGTACCGAATAGACCTAAGACACATTTTTTTCGACAAAGGAATCGTTTATTTTTTTTATTCTAAAATAAAATAGTAGGAATGCTTTGAGTCGTCAATAGAATTACACTAATTCAAACACTAGAAATTATCGCCGACCCTGTGATGATTACAATAGGCACAGAAGAAAGTATGTAAGATATTACCGTAACCGCCATCAAAGGAGAGTCCTAGAGAAAGATGCAGATTTTGAAAATCACATTATCGTGGTCGTAGTCGCTGTGTAAGATGTCGTTCTTGGCGCAAGAAAAAATATTGATGATGATATAATATTGATGATTGTAAATCTGATTGCTACTGTGAGAGATGGATTACACGTACTTTTAACCGATTATCTCTTTTTAACTTCAGTTCGTATTATTATTTTATACTTTTTTTGTATTGTCCACAAGTAAAATATAAATTTCGTTCAAGAAATTCTGTATGTCCGACGCGCTTTATTTTTTAAATATTCTTGTGTAAGAAAAATCTCACGTACGGGCTTGTCGAAATATTGAGGTACATTCGTAATATTCAAATATCTTCCACGCGTATGAGCATCATTTTGTCGGTGAAATTTACTGCAGCAAAGTTTTTTTTATTTACGATGATTTTTTTCAGTTGGATTGAGGAAGGATAGTGTTCGTCAAAACTTTGTTCACGACATTTTACTTTTACCCTTTTAAAAGGGCATGGATCACAACTTTGAGCTCTACAAGTTGTAAGTTTACTTATTTACTTTCAATTTTACATTAAAGCGCATGAGGTTAATTTACCATTTTAGATGGAAGTACATACAATTTTATACAGGCGTGATTCCATTTAAAAATAGTTTGAGACTAACTTACATACAGGGCTCGGGCTAATGTTATTCATTGACTTATAGAATTATTTTTACTTTACCACTTGCAGATTAACACATTAAGATAAACGCCATCTAGTGGTAGAGACTCAAATTAGTGATATCATATTCAAACGGTTAAAAAGTAGTCTACATTTTTTGAAACAGTTAAATTGTCATTTTCAGTTAAATTCATGGTTAAACAATTACTAAATAGTTGGAAATAATATTTTTTTATTTTTTCCAACTTTTATTTAGATCGAAAACTATAATCGAATGTTTTTTTGGGAGGTGTGGTACGTACCCGTTCGCGAGATGAATGTCTACATAAACTAAGCACACAGTTTTATGCTTAAAAATTTTAATAAATATTTTTTCAAATAAAAAAAGATTTGTTGCGAAGGTAGTATGCGGACCAAGGTAAACGTGAAAAAAATCTAAATTAATTCGCAAGCGCAATAAAATAAGTTCAGCAGTGTAATTGTATTTTAATCGAGAATGAAAATTATTGTTAAGCAGAAATAACAGTTTATAAATAAAACAAATAATTTAAAAAACGATTAAATTTGTACGGCTGAAAATTCACTCAAGTTGCTAGTTCTGTGCATAAAGGAATGAAAGGGATAATTTACTTTTTTCTACTCACTACTTCTTGTTCAGTTTTCTCAATCAAATTCAAGTCATTCACATTAATTACCATAAATTTCATAAAAAATGTCATCAATATCTCGTAAAAATAAGAGAGGGTTTGATCTCGTGCCGGTGATGTAAAAAAATTCTGCTTTTGGAATTTTAAAATCATTGATAGATTTATTACAAAATAATAACGAGTCTGCATAAAATTAAAAGCCGAATGATTGTAAGAAAACTGTCTTTGGTGGAAATTCCGTGAAAGATCGAGTGGCTACCCCCTTGAGCCAATCGAATGAATCTTATTGAGTATTACAAGTCCACTTTTTGATAGCAGCACTATCGGTGAAGCAGTTATCATTGTGTGGCAGTCGTGAAAAAGGCAGTGGCGGCTTTTTTTTTCAGCTCCCTTTCTCGGAATATCAGGCGCAAAGTCAAGTCTATAACGGCGTGTGAATGAGTCGTCCCTTAGCGACGACGAAGCCAAGATTTATAGCCTTCTTTTGACCCTCGAGTAGACCCTTCGTGATCGCTCGCGCGCGTGCTAACACACATACACTTAACCCTTGACTTTTATATTCTCTTTGTTATTCTAATCTCTTTATTAAATGATCATCTTTTATATAAACATTTCGATACGACTACCATAATTTATCGGTTTATCGTTTATGCGAATCGATTATTTAGAAAATATTTTTAATTACTTTTTTGGCACCTCTAAAATTATTACTATTTGAAAAAAAATTTGTATGCAGGCTACGTTCGAGTGGAAAAAAAAATTAATAGCATCGAAATTAGGCGCAGTTTCATTTTCGGGGGACGCGATGTGGCTTATATATGTATGTGTGCGCGTGTGTTTGTGTGTGCGTGAGGGGTGAGCCAGATGCGCGCAAGAACCGAAACTATATGGGCCGAGTGAGAGAGAGAGAGAGAGAGAGAAGACTTGCATCATGCGGCATAATATGCGCATACTGCTCTCTTTCTCGCTCTCTCTCTCTTTCTCTCACTCACTCTGGCTGCACACGCACTCATCCATCATTGTCACCCGAACTCTTCAAGCTTTAGGGCCGACCGACTGCGTTCGTTGTTGCTGCTGATGCCTCTCTATCTATTTTGTCTTTCTTTGTCCGACGCTTGACTTTATTCGTGTATGTGTATATTTGTGAGCCTGTTCTAGTGTGTGTGTATCTGCGTACGTGCATACTTACCTATGTATAATCCCAATACTGGTTAACTGGGAGGAAGAACTTTGGCCTCTTTACATGTGATATTCCATTTGCATAAAGATCTTCATTGCTTTTATTTATTTATGTTTTTTTAAGAGATTATTGCAAAAAATAAGACTTATAAACGTAATTGAAGTCACATTGATCGCAGACATCAGTGAAGTTTTAATTTGAGATACACGTGGATATGAGATGCTGGCTGTATTGTCACTGTATGGTGTAGGAAAATAATCAAAAACATTGCAACTTATAATTTTTCATTGTATCTTTAATTTATTCTTATCACTTTGACGGAGGTATGATTAGAATTTGAAGACTATCTATTTATATAAATTTAATCTATATTATCGTATATAGATCCACATCATAGCTGCTCCAGCTTTTCTTCAAACTCTAGTGTTTGTATAAATATTTTTAAAGTGCCGAAATATTTAATCTTTGTGTTGCACCGTCAAGTTATTACATTTAATGTTATGATGTCTGTAAAATCTTATACGAAATTCAGATGAGCTCATCTTCTCCGGACGAGCAAGATGATAATTTTCTTTATTAATGATCCAGTTCTGTTACATAATTATGTAAAGACGGAGTCATTAAACGGCAGCTTTATTAAAGTGAAGTAATGGCTATTATATGCAACGCAATTACGTGTGATAATCCATGTTTATGCAGGGAGTTATCTCTGAATGATGCAAATCTATCATTTTATTTATAATGAAACAATATTGTGTACATATCTTACGAACTATTTTTTATAATATATATCAGTATCATATATTTTCATTAAATAGAATATTTATATTTTGCAATAGTATTTACAATTTTTTCTTAATATCGTACGATGTCTTTGATTTTCGGAAATTCGATTCTAATTTGATAAATTGTCACGCAATATAAACGATAACAGCTAATTATTTTTCTACATACTTTGGCAACATGTATGCAGACATAATTTACAAAAGACGATATGATAATTTGATTTTTGCCGCGTTAAAATTTAAAATTTGTATATCTCTACGCATTATTCATAATTACAAGATTGTAAAATAAAAAATTATGATAAAAAAATCGTTTTGATTTATGCGTGCATGACTTAAATGCTGAAAAGATCAATAGACACAAGACAGATAAAAATTTCTATCTAATATAACAACTATACAATATTTTTACACGTACAGGCACTAGAAAAATTTTAATATTGCCTTGACAATAATAACTGATTTCGCGTTATTCATGTTAAACAGATTTTTGCGGAAATAATATTTGATGTAGCAAAAAATCGCGAAGAATTAAATTCAATCAACTGAAATTATTTTTCATTAAAAACATAGATATTGTCTTAGAGTTTTTAATCGTCTATTTAGATCTAATAGTTCTAAACTTCCGAAACCTCATAATATTTACATTATGGCAAGTATAAAATACTAATGTTTGAGTTCGCTATAAAACAAGTAGTATGAGCATTAGAAAATTGTGAGTTACTTATTGAGGTCAGGATTGATTCGATCCTCCCCCGGTGAGGGCCTACACAGAACTCTTGAAATAAGCTAAACTAAATCCCGTTGCGAGTTCTCTATAGTATCAAGTTTGGCAGCCGGCCAAAGCGAATGCGCTCGTGTATCTTCTAAATGTTCGCATAAATATTGTAATATTTTCAATTCAGCCCTATTTATAAAGTTCAAATTGCACAGTTTGAAAAATGCCGCCGATCGGACATGGAGCAAGTCACATCACAGGAAACTTTGTACACACCGCCCAACCACTCGCACGTACACACGCGCACACACCCACGCGCGCAAATGATTTAATAAAGTTCATTGAGCAAGTACTGCTCGTCGTTCCAGTCGATCTGCTGCTGCTGCTGCTGCTGCTGTTGGCAAGCATTGCTCGCAGCAGAAGCGACCGGGACGTTTTGCTCCTGAACTCAGCTGAGCTGATAATACTCCGGCGCGAACTCGTTGGCGAGATTGCTCAAGAAGTTGAAGTCCGACGAGCTGTTGCTGTTGTCGGTCTGGTGCGTGGCCACCGTCGACTGCATCTGATGACTGTTGCTCTGATCGACCGAGGCAGCGTAATAATTACCGAAATTGTTGTACGACGGGTCGTGCGTCGTTTGCTCGTTGTTGACTATCGCGGGAGCGACGACGGCGGCGCTCGTGGCGGTCGTCGCGGGTGTCGCGACCGGGAAAGGGTCAGGCGACGACACGTAACTCGCTGGTATACTCGAGGCCTCGCCGCCCTGGTGATGATGCAGCTGTCCACCGGCCGTTTGATGCTGATCGTAATACTGCTGGCATTTGTTGCCTCGGTGATGATAGTCCATGTTGGAGTGCATCGCGGCGCTTTGATGGTTGATGTAGGCCTCTTGCTGCTGTTGCTGAACGTCGCCGTAATAATGCTGTTGCTGGCCTGTCGTCACCGCCGCTGCGTGCGCGTGATGCAATCCCATCGTGTTCGAGGTATCCACGTTGTGATAACCCGAGGTCGCCGCTTGATAGCCGTAATTATTGCTGGGCATGTATCCGTCGGAATTGTTCGAGTCGGTGGCAACGGCCGCGTACGCTTGAGTCGCTCCGGTTCCGTAAGCCGAGCTATTCGCATTTTGCATGGTTCTGTAAAAATTTGAATCAAAGTACCGATAAATCGAAGAGAATCTTATCATAGATCTCAGCTCGTAATGAAATTTTAAAAATTAGTAATTAAAGGAAGTACCTGGCGTGATAAGAAGCGTGATAAGCTCCTTGCGCGTAACCATTGTACACTCCCGTTCCTCCGTACTGATGTTGCTGCTGCTGTTGATGAAATTGTGACATCGAGTGATGATTGTACGCAGATCTACCGGCGGCGGCATTAGCTCTGGCATGTTGACTGACGCGAGCCATCCCCTGCTGTTGCTGTCCCTGTCTGCCATATTGCATGTCACCGGCTGCCGCGTAATGTCCCGCCCGCTGTTGCTGTTGTTGATAAGCCGTCAGGCTCGCATCCCTCGAGCAGTAGGCGTTCTGGTGTCCGGTCATGCCTTGCCTGTTGTTGATGCCGTTTCGGTAATCGACGACCGCGCCGGGTATTTGATTGTAAGCCGCTGCCGCTTGCTGCGCCTGGGAGTAACGATTCTGCGGAGCGATCGCGTTGCTGGACGACGGCGAGCTTCTGGGTCGCTGCAGATAGACGTGGCTGCTGTTCGGTTGAGCGTTCAGGGGACTGCCTTGCTGCAACTGCACCGAGGCCGGTGTGCCCGGAGTCGAGGAAGGAGTCAAGCTTCGCGTCGACGACGATTGATTGGCCGGCGTCACCACGGTCGAGTCGGCCAAGCCGATGAGTACGCCGTTGTTGCTGCACATGTCGGTTTTGGCCGGGGACTTTTTGCTCGTTCCTATCTGCGACTTCACTGCGCTGGGATTGGGACTCTTGTGATCGCCCTCGAGTTTGACTCGTACGTCGAGCTTCTTGGAGGAGCTACAGGGCGAGGTGACGAGATGATCGCTGTCGTCGCGCGATCGCGAGTCCTCGTCGACCATCATCTTGTCGAAGCTGCTGGAGACGCTGTTGGTGCTGCCGCAGCTGCTCGCCGGGCCCGTGCTGTTGGCATTGAAGCCTCCGCTGCTGTTGTTGTTGTTATTGTTATTGTTATTGTTGTTGGTGGCGTTGGGGGTGTTGTTGTTGTTGATGCTCGCCGGATTGCTGGCGTCGACGTTGAGAGGAGTCGCGCCCACGATCGCGTCGCCGATGCCGCCGAGGTCGCAGTTGTGGCAGCTGCCGGCTTTCTTGTCCTCGTCGTCGAGGCCGTGGTGCAGCTTGTCGGGCTTGGACTTCTCGAGGCCGTCGGACGAGGCCCCCCCGTCTTTGTCGTCGCCGTCCTCCTTGCTCAGCGTCTGTCGCTTGTGCTTCATCCGGCGATTTTGAAACCAGACTTTTACCTAGAACAGCGATTGTGCAAAAGAAATTGCCAATAACCTGCCGTGTTATAATATAACGTGAATAATACGAGAATCGAAATTGATTAAGTTACGATCATAAATAACGTAATAATAAATCGTCAGTGATGTGTGCGCGCGCGCTGCACGCCATGCGAAACGAACGTGTGTGTACTTGTATATTACATTATCTCACCTGTCTCTCGGTGAGATCGAGCGATGCCGCAATCTCGATTCTTCGCGGCCGACACAAATACTTGTTGAAATGAAACTCTTTCTCGAGCTCCAATAGCTGAGTGTTTGTGTAAGCCGTCCTTAATCTCCGGGGTAAGCCATTCTCTGCCAACATACAATAATATCGAGTGCTTTATTAGTTCAAACTCAACTTTTCTATCGCGCAACAATTTGCATTGCTACTCCTTTTTTTTCTTCTTCTTCAATAAGCCAACGCATTGAATCATATAACTAGTCTTATTTGGAAAGATTAATGATGTTCGCAGGATGTGCATTTTAATATTAAATAAAGGACACATTCCGTGTCCGAGGGTCCTAATAGCATACACGATATGCAACAAAATGCGTGTATGGAAGCGCCCAACGAAGTAAAAAACTTGTTAGTTTTTTTTTCTTAAATAACAAAATACCGTCCGAGAGAATATTTTCTCAAAAGCTACTGATTGGATTCCTTAGTGGCATATCATGAGAACGTGTGTCAAATGCATTGTACGCCGCGACCGAGCCTTGTACGACTCCTCGAGTGCCTCGAGTATATGTATAATAATGCACGTTATATCACGGGGCTACAGGGCGGAAAAGGGAACATTCTGCGGCTGCTCTCGGGCTCCTTCTGTACAAGTTTCGCAGCAAGTTTTCAAAGCTGTATCTTGTGTCGATGCGGGAAGAAGGAGCCCTAATTGTTATCGGTAAGAAACTCCTCTCTCTAACACACGACAAGACGATAACAAGAGGAAGCCAAGTTCTCGAGAGCTAGCTGCTAAGGTATACCCTCTGCAGGGACTTGTGTCTTGTGCTAGGCTAAACTTTCGCCAAAGGAACGCGTGTCTCTTCGGCAAAGAAATATGCACCTTTTAACTTGTACCGCTATATATACGCGCATCGATGTAATTAATTCAATGGATGGCGATCGATCATGCAAGTTTGCGCTTGTAACGTTTTTCACTGTGTCGAGTTGAAAAATTTAAATATTTGCAGCAAAAGTATGATTTTACTTTGATACAATTTTTGTCGACAACAAAAACTCGGCCTTGATAAAATAAAAACATTTTTCAAGAGTCGGAAAGTTTTAAAATATATCGCGAAATTCGAATTACGATATAGGCAGGAATTATTCACGGCAGCGTGGATACAAGCTTTTCCTCATATTCAAATCAAGCGGCGAAGGCGATATACATAAGCTTCTGTCGGCCTCGGTATAAACTTCCGTTTTCGTCGCTCAGGCGTCGCTCATACATATACATATATCGAGAGGCTGGCCCTCCAGCGCTGGATATGCGATATCCTTCGATAGGGGTGGTATAGTCAACGATATATATGTATGTATACGAGACACGAGGAAAGGCGCGAATATAAGAAGATCGAGTGGGGTCGCTTTTGGCAAAGTCGACGAAGGGACGAGCTATTATACCGCCGCTACACGGGTAGTAGCTGCCCGGGCACCACGGCGTATACGGGGGGGCTAAAAAGTCGTCGCGACGTTTCTGTTTGATTGACAGGTGGCTCGCTATTGGTCGCGTAGCGAACCTGTCAATCAAAACTCTAACTCTCTCTCTCTCTTTCTCTCTACTCCACGCCTATTTATTGTATTAACTCGCTGCCGAGTACTAGCCGAGCGGCTCTGCGGCGCAACCGAGCTCGAGTACACTGGAACTTACTTGTCCTTGTCTCGCTCGCCGCAATAATCAATAAAATTACTGACTGCGTGCACGCCCTTCAGTAATTATACTTTATATACTTGTACGCGAGAATTTTGACCTTCCATTTTTTTTTTGTTTCGTGCCGAAATTAGAAGTCGCTCGCGTGTTCGGGTCATTTTTACCCACGCAAGCTGTATACATCTTCCTAATCTCACCCGGAGCATAACAAAAGTATACGTGAAACAAATATCGTGCGCGCGCGGGATCATGTGAAAAATAAATGACTGGAACGTGTATGTTTTGCCAGGCACAATGTATGCTGAGAGTGCACCCATACCATATAATAATATAGTCACAATATACCGGACGACGAAAATATCGGACCCCGAGCGTGTGCTTTTGTACGCAGCGACGACGTACGCTTGTTGTGCGCAAGGTAAACACGAGACTCTCGACGCGTATTATATTATAAGGCCGATGCTTTTGCTGCGCTAGCTGCGGTGGTTTGGCGCAGCGACGACGGATCGTCCGAGACACACTGCGCGAGAAACGCAATCGCGCTGAGACGAAGACTGACAGGTATAAGTCCGCGTCTGCTCGACGAAGACTCGAAGTTAAATAAAGACGGCCAAGATTATTCCAGTGCCCGAGTATATATAGATTAGTTACTTCTCTCTCTCTCTCTCGCTTTTGAGTGCTGTGCACCACTGTTACATTTACGCGACTTTATTAGGCGGATGAGCGCGCCCGCGGAATTGTTTTCGGCACACATGCGGTCCGAGGCCGAACGCCGGCAGAATTACTCGGAAATCGATGCACAGAAGTCGAGCGAAAAAATCTGTCACTCGTGCGGAAAAGGATGCGCTCTCTCTAAGCCTCGTTTTGTCGACGTTAGAATGTCCTCAAAATTTCGGAAGAAAAAATTTGACGATTTACAAGCGCGAGCTTATTTATTCCAAGCTTCTCATACAGATACAATTTTTTCTCTTTTATTTTTTAGCACAAGTGGCCAGATCAAGAGTCTCTCGCTCGCTCGCGCAAGAAAGAGAGAGAGAGAGAGAGAGAAAGAGAGAACACGCGCGCGACAGCAGTTCACCGCCTGAGATTTTTAAAAGCGATATTTCAAGAGTACAATCGTCGCGCAGAGACGTCGTGGTAGTAGAGAGAGAGAGAGAGAGAGAGAGAGAGAGATATTTAACAAAAAGTGCGCGAGGCAGCTGTCACTCGGCTGCTCTTCACTAGCACAGACATCCATCTTTTTTATCAAAACGAAAGCTAGAGGAGAGAAAAAGAGCAGCGGCTAGGCTCCTCGTTGTCGTCGTCGTCGTCGTCGTCGTCGACGTCGACTATATACGTATATACGATGCATGTCGAGTATACGTACGTGCGCGATGACGACACTCGAAAAGCTTGGCGCGGAGGGTGCGGAGAAGGAAAGAGGGAACTTGCCATAATTACGCCAAACGCTTCAAGAATCAAGCCGGTGGCGCCTGATGTCAAAATTGCCTCGGAGCGAGAGAAAATTTAATACTGTTTTCTAATCGCATTAAACAGCCGACGAATATGTTAAAAATAATAATATTCGTTACTATTTCTCATACACAGCGGAATATCTTATCTCGTAGCTCTTCTCGACGAAAATTTGATTTTCAAGAAAATATAATCCCATGACGCTGTCGAGCTTTAGAAATCTGCGAACTGAGTGCACTGCGCCAGAGACCTTCAATCTTGCTGTGGTTTACCGTCGGCCGTCGCCAGTTGCACGTGCTACTCCTCGCACGTTGCTCTGCACATGCAGTTCTCGTACAGAGCGTAGACGTGGACGGCACTTCCTTCGGGATGCGTGAATCGACCGGTGCAGTGCATGTGGCCATCGGCCAGTCGACTGCTGCGACTGTACGCGCGTGCACCGGCTGCTGCGACTCTCTCTCTTCTCTGTATAATATGCGCCTCGACGCAGCGTATTATTGATCGATGACAGCTCGAATGGATATATAGCGGGACGGCGAGGATTCAGCAAGACTATACGGGAACGCTGACGCGCGCAGATGCGCTCCCGGGGCTATTGAAATTAAATGCTCTCGACTTCGTTGACTCGTATACGCGTTGATACTTCGCACCTATATCGGCATCGTTTTTGCAATAAATAATCACGCGAGTTCAAACGGTTGGCTTACTTTTTGCTCTTTAACTCGGAATTCGTACAGTATCCAAGTGCATATAAAAAAAACTACCAATGAAGAAATCCGAGGCAGTAGCTCATTTGAATATTACGATGTGAATATATCCGCCGCTTGGATTATTCAAACGCTTGATGGATGTATCCGAAGAATGTAAATTACTGTGCCAGTATACGTTTGATTTCCAAGATATTTTTCAAGTATAAAAAATGATGCAATTATATTTTCTGTCAAAACTTTTGTGCTTTAACCGAAGAAATTTTGTTCCGAGCTACGAATACAAAATATTAACTCCACTTTGTCTAGCGAGATTTCTCGGAAACATCAGCGTGGAAAAGTAACTGTCCTCGATCAGGTGGAACAATGCACCCGCCAGCGCTGTAGACCCGATTGACTCCGTTTCAGCAGGTGAGTTCAAAGAAAAGTCTCTTGATTCCAAAGTAATTTGTCTTTTGTTTTCTTAATAGCGACAAAGAAACAGAGACAGAAGTATAAAAGTAAGAAGAACGGCACCACGTTTAAATACAAACAGATGTTGATGAAAAATTAACAATAACAGTTGCTACAAATACCTGATATTGTTTTTTTAAACTATAGCTTCTTGAGTTGTTAGAGCTACATTTTAAAATTGATGCACTCGATGGATTTATGTTCTCGCATTAAAGCAACGTCTTGGTTTACGATTTACTTTTAGATAAAAAGGCAATAATTGATTAACAATTTGCTCCTTATTATAACGATCTAAATATGCATATATCATGGAATCTCATATGTGATGTAAATCTCAAGAATTTGTGCATAATTTGTATAGGAACTCTTAGCTGAAAAGTTATAGATGATACAACAAATTTAATCATTACGAGGTCTTTTATCTGCTATTATGGCTAATTATATCTAGCACCGAGTTAGTTGCCTCATCTGCTTCTCGCGCTTCCTTCGTTATATTAAGTATTTTTCTGTCCAAGATAATACAGCATAATAAACTAGTCGAATGCGATAGGTGGGAAAGTCAAAAAGTCTCGCTCACATAAAACAATGGAAAGTCGTATATACATAGGTAATAGCGGCGCGCTCGGTGGCAGCGGCGGCGTGACTGCCAAGCTATTCAGGATAATTAGCGGTTGACGGGAGGCGCGCGTAAACGTGTATGTATGCATAAAACAGTATGGGAAGTAAATCTCCTCTTCTTCCCTCTCTCTCTCTCTCTCTCTCTCTCTCTCTTGATCTTATTACGAATTTAGCCCGTGCAAGAAGCCAACGAAGGCCTCTCGTACACGCGGTCTTG